AAAATGCATTATTTCTTTGAAAATCTTCTTCTCTGCCCTGGGTTGTATTTTACTCTTTCTTCTATGGATCCTTTACATTGTTGTATTGTTCTCAGGTGACCATTAAGGCCCTTGGGCCTCTTGTAAATTTATTTAGAGGATGTTTTACAAAATTTGTTATGATATTAAGTGCCATGCACAATTAATGCATTCTGTGAAACAGTGTAAAAATCTCATATTCAATTACTTTGTAAACTCCATTTTCAAAACTCCTTATCTGGCCCTCCCAATCTTGGTTTTCGCCACTCTCTATAGTCCAGGTATGCACAATTTCTTTACCTACTAAGTCATCGGGATGGAATCTGGTTTCTTGCGCATTTCTTCTCAATTCTATTAATTTTAAAAGATTATCCAGTAATTTGTTATGATCAAAGACCTTTCCTTTTGAAGAAAACTGCAGCAACTCCTTCTGGTTTTTTTCAATTTTAAAAACTTTTTTGTAAATGTTGATTTGTTTCTTTAATGTCTCTACTTTCTCCTTTTTTGTCTTCAGCTTCTCTATTTCTTCTCTAATCTTCCCTTCACTCTCCCAAAGCCCAACTTTTCTCATGTCCTCTATTGCTCTATCTAACTCAGTTGATTTTTTTTTCCTTCTTCCTTCTAGCTTCTTTTTCTTTTTCTTCTAAAATCTTTGTTTGTTTTCTAAAAAGTTCTTCATTTTTCTCTCTGTCTTTTAGCATAAAAGTTCTATTTTCTGAACGAGCCTGATCTATTATCTCTTGTTGTTCACTTATATCCTTCTTCTTTAACCACTCTTCTGTTCTGTTATTACAATATAAAATGCTACTTTCGATGGAATTTAATGATGATGTGGAGGATGCTTTTAATTTAAAATCTAATTGTCCCATGAGTCTTTCCAGGCAAATGTTATTTGTATCACATGAATTACACTCTTTTAATTCATTCCCACTGATGTTAAAATATTTCCCTCCACTTAAAAATTCACTAAATAGTTTACTGGCTTTCCTTTTTAAAACATTACAAAGACGCTTTATAAAAACACATGTAAGATTGTCATTCAGTGAAGTTTTCAATAAAAATTCAAAAAACTCGTCATAAAAATATGGACCATAAAAAAGTGAAACTTCATTGTTCAAAGCTAAAATTGGATTTTCAATAAACAAATCTAAAACATATAAAAGTCTCTGAAATACAGAACCCATATCTAAAATGTTTCCAACTTCTGTTGCTTTTAAAAAATAAGGTCCTGTGATAATTTTGCATAAAATGCCAAGTGATCTTAAAAGAGTTAAAAATGTTTTGTTCTGCAAACATAATAAAATAAAATTCTGATTAAAAGTGTAAGAAGCTTTCAAAGAATAAAAATACTGTAATACAAGTTTGTGCATAAAAAAAGTACCTGCAGCATTATAAAACATAACATTAAAACGATTGCCTCTAAACTTTACAAAGGGAATGTCTGAAACACTATGATTTTTCATATAAACTTGTATATCATTGGGATCACCAGTCCCATCTTTAAAAAATAATTTCGATACAGATTTTAAAAGACACAAAGTAAAAGGCTCTTTCAATGAATGGGTATACCCAGGAAATCTTAAAGACAACTCTTGTTCAATATTAAAAATTTCTTCTATACATACATCTGAAAACTGCAGGAGGGGGTGAATAGAACATTTAAAAGAATGTACATTATGATCTATATCTTTACTTAAAATATCATTTACTTTTTGTTCAGTAGCACTTCTGTCGGTCATAAAACAAGAGACGTTGTTTAAAATAGTATCACTGTCACCCTCTTTCTGTGATATATCTATTAAAATATCTTTTGTAATATCTACATATGTCTCCACCTTTCCATCACAGACCTCTCTTAAACCTGCAGACAGAACTTTGTCACCAGTATTAAACTGAACTCCATAATAATGCTTCCCTTTCTTCGTAGTTGCGTCTCTATGCATTGTGATATTTGCACTGTTCTTAAGTTCTTCATTTAAATGATTTCTCGAAACTACGCCCATTTCACTGGTTAAAATACCTGCCGTACTCTTTGATGGTAGATTTTCTACATTGATATTAAAAACATCTAAAACAGATTTAATAATTGGGGCAATATGTACTAAAGCTATATTCCTACTTCTAAAATTATAATATAAGTTTCTTAATTTAAAATTGTACGGTTTCCCTTTACCATTCTCTCTAAAATCAATATTTTTTTTTATATGTACAACATCATCATCATCACAATTACTTTCTTTTTCTGACATTAAAAAATCTATTTCTTTCTTCAAGTCTGCAATAACTGTTTTCATAGTATTGCACTGTACAATTTTATCTTTTTTTTCAACATTTTCTTTTGTCTTCATTTTTTTAATAACATTTTCTAATTTTTTTTATTTTTTCTTGGTTTTTTTTAATTTTCTGTTTGTATTTCTAACATTAAAAGCTCTTATTTTGTCTTTAAGAGCCGTATTCTCTCTTCGTAGGTGTTCAATCACAATATTCTGCTCCGATATAATTTTGAGTTTCTCCTTCAAAAGTTCATCTTCCTACATTTCTCTCAGTTCCTTTGATGAATCCTCTTTTCTAATTTCCTTACTCTCCTCTTCCTCTCCACTTCCATTACTTATCAATGAGTTTTTGGTTTGGGGTAATTGAAAGATATTGTTTAAGTATGAATTTATTTTGTCTTTGTTGCTGTATTTCTTGAGTTTATCTATTTCCTTCTTTATTCGATTTACTTTGCACAAGAGACTTACTCTGTTAACTTTTGTATATTCAATTTTCAATTCGTCACACACTTCATGGTGTAAGTATTTCATAAAATTTGCACGGTTTTTATGTTTTAAATATATTTCGTAAACACCTAAGTAAGTGAGAACCATGATTATGTGCAAAAAAGTGAGTGTTAACTGAATTTTTACCATGAATGCTGTGCAAAATGAAATGAAAAAAAAAAATGAAGACAAGCACAAAACAAAGACAATAAACTAAATATACAAGATGAGGACAATAAACTAAACATAAAAGACAAAGACAGTGAACCAAAGAAAATAAAAACAAAAAATGAAATAAAAATATCACACATACATAAAAGCAAATTATGCTTAAAAAAATTGAGATATATTTACCTTTTATGGAAAAATTCAGTCACTGTGTCACTCGTAATTTCTCAAGTCCTAGAATACGACAAAAAAAAATATAATATAAGTTTTTAATGAGAAAATCATTTTATCACTTGTAATACTGCTTTATACAGTGGACATTGCTCATACGATATCATTTTCATATCCACAGTTGTGACATCACAATGGTTTTTGCATGAATTTGATCAAGTCAAATATTAAGGATTTACATATATATAATACAGTATAACGCATAAAAAAGCTATGTGTGAAACATGTGATAAAAACAAACTCCCATGTTTTTTGGTTACATGTGATTTTTTTATCAAACTCATTGTGTGTTTTATCCCCGAGCCTTAAAAAAATCATACCCAACCACAAATCATGAAATATCCTATATGTCCAATTTGCCTTTTTACGTCTTTATATTAATATATGTTTTCCGAAGTCTATAAAGAAATGGACTATATAAAGGGCAGGTAATTTGATTCCCAGAAAATGCCTGTGTTGACCAATCTACCAACTTTCAAAATAATCGTGCAAAAATGTGCAATGTTACAGAAGACATTTTACATTTCAATAAAAATCAATAGCCTTTAAAAAATCATTATAAATGTCTAAATTCATGCTACTTCCTATAAATGCCAAGGAATCATAGAAAATACAAAAGCTACGACCTTTCTTGTGCACATATTTTTGTTGTTCTCAATTGATTTAAAAACAATTAACAGGTTTTAAGAGCTTTCTTGCAAACCAAAAACTATACCCCAACATAAAAACACCTTACGCACCACTGTCATCAACATCAAAGTCCGTCAAGTAATACTTACCTCGATTTATTTCTAGGATCCAAGACCCATCGACAAACGCATGCAGATATGGCTACCAGGTGCCTTCCGGTTGTTACTATTTTAAGATTAAAATGGCGTTAACTGGAATAGCTAAATGTTGAGATCCCAGGATTCTGATTGAACACGGTGAAAATGAAGGTGTTTACCGAAAAACCGGAAGTGCATACATTTATATTTCTGATTATATTTTAATGAATCTAATTCACTTGCTTTTTTATCATTTTAATAAGAATGACCATTTAAGACTGCTTAAGAATTATTTTCAACTTAGCTTTTGTTTTACGACTTATGCGCGTCATCATGCGCAGAAGGCGCGAATTTTTAAACCCGCGACCTGCCTTAAGTCTTCTATTCTCCAATAATGAACAATATACGGTAAAACACGTTTAGTACGAACACGGATATTGCGAATTCACGGATATAGCGAAGTTTTCTTAAATTCCCAGCTAGATAAATTTAACGAATTCCTTATACATATATAACGAATTACGGATATTGCGAAGTAATATCACAGGTCCCAGTGACTTCGTTATTAGCGAGTTTTACTGTATATATTTTCAGGACAGCTAGTGTCAAACAGTACAACTTATGTTGGCGTCAATCATGTAGGGGTCTATCTTAAGTATGATGTTACACTGAATATATTCTTTAATTAATAACATGTAAATAGGTTTAAAATGTAAGTTTATCTACCTTTTAGAAATCGAAAACATTCCTCTTTATTGTTGTAGAAATAAGCTTATTTGTGCTACACAAAGGATATACTATTTTAACAAAACTCTTAAACCAAGCTGTTCAGAAAATGAAGCAAGCTGTTCAGAAATATTTCTGTCATAATGTTTTTTATGTTGTCATGACAAACATAAATGCTGAAATATAATCCTTTTTCATTTGTATTTGGTGTCTAAAAATATATCGACATTATAAACAGACAAATAAAGTATGCTGTTTAACATCTGATATGGATGAGACATGGTGTATTCTTGTCAGAATACAGGCTATATTTCAGATAATGCTCCCCATTATACTATTCCTTTGGAAATCATGATCTGCTCAACGTTGTTTGTTTGTACGGTAAGTTAAGTACATCTAATTTGTATAAAATCTGTACAATTCTAATGTTTTTAAAAGGAGTATTTATATTATCATTCAGATACATGTCCATGTTTACTGAGTAAATATAAAGGAAGGTATAATTTTGTTATATTTATCAGAGTTAACGCCAAGTTAGTAAAAGATTTTAGATTTTTTTCACTATTCAAAATTGACAATCTTGTTAGCAGATAATAACATATCACTGGGTTGTACTTTGAATGAGGTATTTTATACCAATTATTAGACCGTTGTTTGTATACTTAATTTGACTAGAGATTATTCCGTCTATCAATGCATAAGCCTCACGGTGGGTTTGAATAGTCGACAGGCGGGGTAAACTAAATCTCATTTGCATTCACTGGTGTTCGACATACATCTATGTCAAAAAAAATAAATAAATAAATAAATAAATAAAAGGTATAACAAAACATTTATTGACTGCGTTCTCGTGCAAAATGCGTTTTGTCGACCCCTCGAACCAAACTGTTTGCCTGAGGCCGTTAGGCCTCAGGCAAACAGTTTGGTTCTTGGGTCCGACAAAACGCATGTTGCCCTCAAACCCAGTCAATAAATATATAATATTAAACCTTCAACCGCTACGTGAGTGTGATACCGAAGTATATTTAATCGTATTTGAACAGTTAATATGGTGATATCAACTTGTAAATACATGGCATTCATTTATCGTAAGTAGATACTAAAGAATTCGCAGTGATTCATCGTACATGTGATTTAGTATTAAAATAGGGCACACAGAAATGGCCAGTTTCGTGTTATTGGGCACAGTGAAATCGTTTTTAAAGGGGGAGGGGGAAGCTTTAGTTAACTATTGTTTACTGTAGTATCAAAGTTTTTACTACATGCAGTAAATCGAAGTATTTTAATTATGGATTTCAGACCGTTACATGTAATGTTCTCCAATAAATACGCTCATTTTTTTTTTTCATTCATAATTAGAAATTTTACTTGTATATTCACATACAATTTCCAAATCTTACATCATTTGTATTGAAGTTAAAAATGTTAAGCTTCGACATCTCAAAAATAAGTTCTAGAGTTTCAAGTAAATCAAAGTGTCGAAGTATTTACTATATAGTTATCTATAGTAAATTTTTGTTAGGGATGCAACAACAAAAACTGGAGATAGGAAGGACCTGTCAATGAAAATTTCCATGCTAAATTAACAGCGAAGCATTACTCCCTCTCGGAAAAATTGGAAAAGCAGTCATCCAATCATCTCGAGCTTTGTATTAATGTCCCGAAAAATATTATTTCACGGTACGTTTCGTTGATTATAAACTTGCGAGAGACTTTCATATATACTCAGCACATACAGTAGAGGTCGTACATTGTAGCTCCTCATGCGGTTTCAAATATAGAAACTTGCATCATGCAGAGTTAATTTTTTTTTTAATTATAACATATCTCGTGTAGTAGCATTCTTTCTTTTTTTTAATTCTATCATTCGTTTTCTACTTTTATTTATACAGTTAAAATAGAAAAAGAAATAGGTTTACTGAAAGCGAAAGTTTGTAAAATACCAAAGTTTTATTTAAAAATTTTATATACAATAGGGAAAAAAACAAGAAGGAAAAATGTAAAATATTAAAATATGAAACATATCGATAACAAAATCAAAAGCAAGAGATAGGAAATGTAATTTAAAAGAATACATATAAAAATATTAAGAAAGAGTCGTGGCACTGACTTTTCTATATGTGTTAAGATAACAGATTTGATATCTACAAAAATTGAATTAAATTAATTTTTGTATCAATGCTGATTTTAATGCGAGTACAACTACACAGCAGTCATATGTATGCTCTTTATCACATATTTTGATATATTTACCATAGAAAATACGCCTTGAAATATTCCGAGAAAATCAATACAGTTTTTATTTTTTTTTTTATACAAGCATGATTTTTCGACTATTTGCATATGTATTTATCGGTCTGAGTTCGGTGAAAATGACGTCATTTACATCAGCTGTTTGTCACGTGACAAGTGTAAAATTTAAAAATAGTAAAAGTTCAACGATTTACGTACCTCTTCTCGTTATGAAATTGAACTTTTTTATTTGGGATGAAATATGGAGATAATGAACAGTAATCAAGCTCAGAGGTCCATTGAAATAATACAAATTCCTTAATATGAAGAGCACTTTTCAAAATAGAAGTTATAATAGCTACACGTATTTTAAAACTCATAATTTATAGTGAAGCAGGTATCGTTAAACTTTTGAGTTTTTTGAGGTGGTATTTCTGCCATTCTAGTACGATACTGTGCGAATGTGCCGTACTACGGCTTTATATAAGGTCTATACATTTTTAATTTCATTGGACTATGAAATATTGATTACCATATTGAAGAATATGTCTCAATTTTTGGTAGATCACGCTTGATTCAATTTTCATATTTATAATACCCGATAATTGCTTGATCCGCACCTCATGTACAGAAAAACTGCGTGTCAAACTAGTCAGTAACGTCATCTCAGTCAGTGTAGTGAGATCATACTGGCTTCCATTCTACGTTTGGATAGTGTACTTATTGCAAGATAAGTTTCACATTGAATTATTTCTACATTATGTATGAGGAACAAAGTATTTCAGTTGCCCGCGTGGCGCAATTGTTAGAACGTTTGCTCTTGAGAAGCGAAGTAAGGAGTTGGTCCTTACGTCGCGGGTTCGAATCCAGCTGCTGGACCTGTTGACCGGTCCTTCGGATGAGACCGTATGAACTGAAGTCCCGTGTCATAATAGTGGCTGGCATGAAAAAGATACCTCACTGTTCAAAGGACCTCTGTGCCGAGTACAGGTCTAAAATTGCAGCCCTCCACCGGCAAGTTGTGGCGTCTCAATATGAGTGAAAAAGTCGAAGGGACGTCAGAGGAACAAAAAACAAACACAAAACAAACTTAACTTGTAATGAATAAACACGTGTCAAAAATTTAATAAATCAGCAGACGATCTGAAAATGAGTTTAGGCGAAAGACGTAATCTAATTTTGTCTTTATGTTTTATCTTTTAAGAAAATATTATTCATATGTGATAGAAATTTTTAAGCAACAATAAAAATAGATGACGATTTAGCATATAAAAATTTTGATGATCTTTCTTATCATTGAAGATTTTTTAACACTACCTGCAATGTTTAAACTCTTTGATCAATTAATCGCTGCTTTTTCTGCTTGATGCATATGGAAATATTTTTAAATTTAAGACGCAGATTTTTTTCTTCTTCTTAATTTGATTTTTAACAGAAATCGGTTCATATACTCTAAAAAAGAAACATAATTATCCTGGTGCATACATATGTACAATATATCATATCATTTAGCCATGTGAACACATTTCCTTTCAGTTAGTTGTATATTAAATAATATTCTTATTACAGAACAATCTTTTTTTTGCGCAGTTACACAATACACAATAACTTCAATAAAAGACTAGATACCTGTAAAAAAAAAAAATAATTGAAAATGCATTTATAATAATGGTTTTCTTGGATGATTGGATAAATGAAATAACATATAATAACTATGTAAATCTTCAAATAATTCATAACGATCTTTATACATTGTAGATTCTATGCGTACAGTTGACGCTGACATTGCAACCTGATGTCGACTTGACAGAAAAAGGAGGAACTCAGTACAGATCGCAACTTCCCATATATATCAACGAAGGTAAAAAAAAAACAAAACTTTACGGTGTTTTAAAGCTCATTGATTTGTTTATTCTAGAACCGAAGCATTTTATTTGGTCTTTGGAGACCATGTCTTCAATAAAGCTTTTGGAATTTCGATGGACACAAATTGTGCTCCTTTATTAGATGACCTGTTTTTATATTCCGATGAAAAAGAATTTAATTAAGACATCTACATGAGAAGAAGAGAGCACTTGCTAGGGCTTTCAACTCAAAATTCAGATATATCAACAACGTTTTATCGTTTTAAAATATTTTCTTTCATTCATATGTCGATTCAATATTTCTAAGTAAATTCGAAAGAAAGTATACCACAGAGTCTGCCACATCGCTTCATATATGGATGTGATACTGACTATAGACGATAGGGGCAAACTAACGACAAAACTGTAGTACAAACAAATGACTTCAATTTTTTCTATCGTCAACTTGTCTTATTTATATAGTAATATTCCATTATCACCTGCATATGGTCTCAAGATCTCAAGAGCTTGCTCCGAGTACGATCAATCATTAAGCCGAGGTAGGCTACTGACAAAAAGTTTATTTTACAGGGATTCCAAAGGTCTCGTTTAAAGTCAGCATTTGTTAATTATATGGTCGTTTTAATTACCTTGTTAGCAAACATAACATATAACTGGGTCGTATTTTAACAGACATATATCACACCAATATCGTTAAACCTTTTTGCTTTTATACTAATTTTGGCTACGGGATAATCTGTCTACGTGATCAGTACATAGGGCTCACGCCAACGTGACCGGGCGATAAGATATGCTTACTCATCATAGGTACCTCATTCTATCTCTGGAATTTTACTGTTAACAGATATGTGTTGTTTGTAGGTTTTTTAAAGATCGATCACTGTTCGATATCTTCACTTATTTCATTTGTTGACATTATAGTATAGTTAAGGTGCCCAAGGAAAATGTACACGATTTTTAAGAAATAAAAATGTATTCCTTACAAGAATGGGTGATTCTTTTGTGTATTTTTGTGGATAATTTTTGGATTTTTTTTTCATTATACTAATATCGGACAAAATAATGTAGGGTGAGTTAACCATGCATCGGACACATACCTTGCTTCGGACAACTTTAAGCAATAATCTTTCATTGAACCCGAGTCTCCTCGTGTTTTTACTTGTTTCTGTCTTAAAGGGGAAGATTTAAACTTTTTACTGATGCCGATTTTTATTTTCATGTTGTGATAAAAATACCATAAGAATGGCCTTGAAGTTACGTCATATTTTGCATCATCAAAGGGGAGTAACCAGAATTTTACGATTTTGCAATTTTTAGAGTTGTCGTTCTTTTAAATAGACGTCAACGGAACGGGTCGGACCTAGGTAAAATTTATCAATAATTGATTATTTTACAGAAATTTTTCAAAAATTTTACTTCAATGTTTGAATAATATATTTTACAGTTGTTTTTATCTAGTATATTTATTTCACCGTACATCGGACACAAATTAACCATGCATCGGACACTTTCCGATGCATGGGTAATCACTTCCATTTTCATATAAAACCCAAATGACAGCTGTTTTTTACGGAAATAAAAAATAGAAACTCTAAATATTCGGTGAAAATACAAATAATCGATATATGACGACTAGAAGTGGACTCAATTTATTTCTTTAAACTAGATGATGATAACCCACGAGACAAAGGCGCGAGTTGCCATATTACTAGTACTGTAAAGCCTTTCTAAGGCGATATGATGCAACTAAAATCTCTTCACATTTGTGGATCGAAAAAGTCATTCAAATTTAATTAGAAGTTTAATTTTTAAATAAAAGATAAAAATGTTTCGATATCACTCATTTTAAAGCACGGAGATCAAGGTATGATATTTTTCTGGTTTAAATATCGTATGTCCGATGCATGGTGAATATTGTCCGATCCATGGTGAATTCTTACTTATTCCGAAAAAATCGGTTTTAAATGATATTTTCTCAATAAATAGGGCGCGGTTGTGTCAAAAATTTATATTTTAACCACATACTACATATTCAGTTCCATTTTGATTATATTCGGTCGGTAGCGATATCGCTAGAACTTGTTGAAGTGCGAGGGTGTCCGATGCATGGTGAATTCACCCTAATATGGTTTAAAACTACATGTTGAGGACGATTATATTTTTTAATGTTGCAGTTAGGTGATTTTAGCAAATGTACTATATTGCATGGACATAACCACGTTAAAATCTAAATTTTATTATAATGTTTTCAATACTTTTTGAAGTTTGATAAAAGTGCTGCGAACCTATATAAATTCCACTATCTGATTGCTAAAATTATATTTGCTAGGTAGTATATTGATTATATTTTGCTGGTCAACTGCATGAAATATAGAAATAATTAATTTACTTAATTTTCAAATATCTTAATACTTCATTATATATAATATTGCTAGATACTCACTGCATACAAACTGCAAATTTTACGATATAATGTAATTGCAAAATTATTTTGTTAAAAACATTCTGATTGTACACACAAGTACTCTGAAGTTGATATTAAAAAGATGCTTGAGTTTCTGATTGACAATATCTATGAAAACTTTGAAGATAAAATCTTCTACCAATCTGTTGGAATTCCCAACGATATTAACTGTATGACATGGAAAAAACGAAATATCGAGTCGACATATGAATGGAAGTAACTATTGTTAATTGATAATACGTCGTCGATATATCTAAATGTGTTAGTGGCCACGGCAAGTGTTTTTTTCTTCTCGTGTAAAAGTTTTGAAATAAATTCTGCTTCATATTAATATAAAAATAGGTCTGCTAACAAGGGGTGCAATTGGTACTCATGGAAATTCCAAATAAAAATTTGAAAGACCTGATCCCCAAAGTTTACAAATATATTTTCAATCAGAAACTTAAGCATCTTTTTTAATATAGTAGAAACTTACATCTACCTAATTTGATTAATATTGAAAAGTTTTCTTTCCCATTTTCCTCTGTAAATTGATTTAATAATTCCGAATCGAAATTTTTTGTCGACATAATTGATAATAACTTGCAGAATTTTTCCGTAAATTGTTTATAAAAGACATCAACAATATTCTGAACATTTTCAAAATCCAAGCCATTTTGTGTAATACAGGTAGATGTAAACATTTTTAATCAGATGCCAAATGATTTAATAACTCCACATTTCTCTAGGACTTGGGCTTTCTTCAATTGGCGACTTGTAATACGTTGATTTGGTTTGATTTATTAACTGAAAGACTTTATTGCACCAAAATTTCAATTTTTCTAAATTACCTTGTAGATGGTATGTATCACGCAAATGTCTAGCATCATTAATATCCACTGTTAGCCATTTATATGGAGGCGTAAAGATCTCTACTCTTGTTGTCTTATTACTTGACAGCTATGTATATTGTCTTATATTTCATTGTCTTATCAACATATAAAGTGTAATAACTCCTTATTTATACAATTATTTTGAATTGTATTTAGATTTTTTTTACATACATGTAACTTAAGGCACCTTCTTTCATTTAATTGATTTTATTGCTATACGTTTTTTCGACTTTAAAAAATACTGATTTTCAGATATTGATCAAAGCAAGATATTTAATCATATCAAAATAGTAATGTCGATACGTTAAAAAAAATATATATATATAGTTATATCGACATAAATATATGAAAATCTCGGGAAAAGAAGTGAGAAAATATTTTTATTGAATTAACTTCGCAGAGGCGGGAATTCTAATGAATCTTCACCTCACTCGGGATTCAGTGAAAACTCCTGTATGATGTATTTGCTATCGTATACGATTATCGGCTGATTCATATTCAAAAATGTTTTGAAAAAGGGGGATGGAGAGACATCAACAATTAGATATAGGCATAAGCATGGGAGGCTACTGTCCCCATTACCACTTTTGAAGAGGGGGAGAGGCACGAGTATCTTTGTGTCTCTCCTCAGTCTTTTTTTAACCTGAGTATAGTATAGATCCGCTAATACATACATAAAATAAAGAATACTCGCAGTTCGAGCTCTGTTTTTTTCTTGTCATATTAACTTTTTTATTTGGCTGACTCTCACCCTAACTCTCTTGTAACTTTGTGACTAAGCTTATGTAGATTGGCTGTAATGAAGCAAAAATTATTTTACATTATTGTAAGTAATAAAAAAGTAGATCTGATGTGCTGGTAGTTAAATTTTATCTGATGTAAATATTCTGTCATCATTCACTGCATATATCTTTTGAGTTCATGGGGGGGGGGGGGAGGGTGCAGGCTGTGGATTGATTGATTGATTGTATGTTGTTTAACGTCCCTTTCGAGAATTTTTTACTCATATAGAAACGTCACCGTGTGCCGATGAGGGGCTTCAAATTTAGACGTTTACTTGGCACTCATAGCCATTGAGCAGTGAGAGCCCTTTATCGTGCCAAAGACTACCGTGAAACGGGAAATCGGTTTTTAAGGTCTCATCCGAAAGACCCCATATGGAGAAATGGTGTTCATTCTGCTGATTTGCATATCGGCCATTTTGGAACTATAATGGCGGCCGAATTTATAAAGGTTTACATAGAGAAAATACAAAAAATCGCGAATTTTTATATCCTAACTATTTCGGATAAAGTTCTTTCGCCGATGGTTTGATTCTTCTTAATATCTTCTACCGGAAATGACAAGATTGTTGATACCAAAGTGAAAGTTGCGACCGCCTTTTGGATTTGAATATTCGAAGCGAGAGTATATTGTTTTAATGAAGGAAAGAGCAAAGAATGGTTTTTTTAATCAATTTTTATAAGGAAATGTAAGTGTTTATTACAAGTTGACAAAGTTCTTCCGCCGATTAAGAGGTGCAGGAGAGAGCCTATTTTTATAAATTATGTATGTTTTACCATTCCATGAGGAGTTACCACCGCCTTTTTAATTTGAAAACGGCAATTTTTTGCATTAGTGTGACCTACTTTATATCGGGAGAGCGACGTCCCGAGTCGTCAGCTGTTATTCACACAAATTTCTACCCATATAAATATGACAGAGTCTTGAAGAAAAAACAAAACGAAACAGGCTTGCAGGTTTTAACATAAAAATTTGAATAAATTGGAATTTCGAGTTTATTCAGTATCTTATCAATATTAATGGGAAATAAATCACGTGGAAGCAAACTCATGAATGAATTGCACACAATTTCTCCATATGCGCGACTTTCACTTCTAATGCCAGGCGTTTGGCGAAGGAACAGCCACTACTTATGTTTACGTCTTAGGTTTGACGCGGTGCGGCAAACGAGAATCGAACCCTGGCCTCCAGATCACGAACCGAACGCCCTACCACTAGGCTACCGTGACAGGTGCACGACTATGGAGGTTAACGTCTATGTGGCAGATCCTATGTTTACCACAGAGAGATAAAACATCAGATATTTACAGAGTACATAGCCAGTGTCACTTTTATAATATTGCTAATTCTACCTTCGCTTCATCCACGAATAGGACTACTAATACTAAATGAATTTAAGAATAGAACATTGAAACGGAGGGGGGGGGGGGTAGCTGACATTAATTATTTAAGCCACAGCAATATTTATCATGCATACCCGCGCCCGCAAAGTTAGTTGAAGAACAATATTTTCAAACTTTTTTCCTAGAAATATCGACCTATTTTTATCAGTTTATCTATTATGCACATATTTATATTGTTGTGTGTCGAGATAAAAACATCGGTATCTTTAATTCTCATGCTTAAGTCAATATTTTTTGATAAGACAATAAAAAGTAAGATAATGTACAAAAATGTAACACAACAAATGTAGAGACCTTTACGCTTCCGTACATTTAGGACGAACTTCAGTCTTAACTCTTTTAGTTTTTACTCAGGCATGCTGTTAAGAATATCATTAAATAATTGATAAAAAAAAATATTCAGTATTTCGTTTATTGCATGTAGTTGAGGAAGAGTGTTAAAATTTTTATTTTCTTAATCTCTTGGATATTGTTTTCATTGAATTATTCAAAATCTCGATTTTGAATTTCAATATGTTTTCCTTTACGCTGCATGCATTGGTTTTTCGCGTCGAACATACATTGTAGAGATCAGAGATAGCAATAAAGGGTAGAGAGATTTCACATATGTTATTCGGTTTTGTCGTATAGAAATAATCAATTAAGGTACCTGAGGTACTAATAACTTGGGTAGGTAAACTGATTGTCTGTAAAAGACCAAACTCCTCTTAAGCAGATGTCCTATTTATCATTAAGTCAAATGCTGACTGATTTTTTTTTCATAGTAATTGCTAGGCCATTATTTACACACTGAATTGTCGAAGGATTTTCCGGTTATTTCCCGATCATGACAAAGAGCACACGGCGGGTGTGACCGGTTTGCAGGGGATGCTCAATCTTCCATGGCACCTGATCCCACCTCTGATGTTGTAGAGGTCCGTGTTTGCTCTGCTCCAAAATTTGTATTGTTTAATGGACCATTGAGCTTGAATATTGTTTGTTATCTCCATATATTTTATTACATCAATAATTCAATATTGAAATCACCTGTTTAAATAATTTCAGTATCGTCACAACAGGAGGGACATATTACCCCCCCCCCCCTTTGCTAGGCCCTCTGTCTAACAGGAGTGGCAAATGGTAGACGATAAGCAGAGCAATAAAATAAAGGTTTTAATTTCTAATATTTATCTCTTGCCAGATAGTTTCAATATTACTGATATCAAATCAGTTCTACGTTTATACGAAATATCATTTGAAATGTAAATAAGAATACCACCTCTTGCCTTTAATATACGATCTTTTCTTTTAAAATTTAATAATCAATATTCAATTCTGAGTTACCTACTCGCTCGGTCAAAAAAGCTTCAAAATGTTTTAATCCTAAAATATCTAAGATTATCTATCTTGGAGTAAGTTTTATTTCATCATTGTTTTCTCAGTCGGTAGAGCGCTCGCTCCGTGATCGGGAGGTCGTGAGTTCGAATCTCGGCCGCGACAGACCTAAGTCGATAAAAAATAGGTAGCAACTGTTCCTTCGCCATGCGCTCGGCACTTTGAAGTGAAAGTTGCGGGTCTTTCGGATGAGACCTTAAAAACCGAGGCCCCGTGTCACGGCAGGCGTTGGCACGATAAAGATCCCTCACTGCTCAATGGCCCTGAGTGCCGAGTAAAGGTCAAAATTTGAAGCCCTTCACCGGTATCTGGTGACGTCTCTATATGAGTGAAAAATTCTCGAATGGGACGTAAAACAATATACAATCAATCAATCAATCATCATTGTTTTTGGAATATGACAAATATTTAAATTTCCGATTCGTAAAACTTTTTCTACCAATCCAAATCCTTGGTCTTTTTGTATTGTTTGGATAACTTTATTATAGGCCAGAGGAACTGGAATTCTTACTTGTAAAACAGGCTTAGACCTAATTGTCAGGCCTACTTATTCAAAGTTTTAACTTTTGCTATAGAAGAGACAGGGCTTTCATATTTTTTTCACACTAGCATTACCTGTGACAAGACCTTCTGGATTATAGTATGTATGACCTTAACATTGAAGATTAATGCAGTTTTAAAAATCTTCAATCTTTGCCATAGCTTTTATTAATCATAAAATTTCAGCCTTTTTATGACGGACAGAGAAGGCATAACATACTGACAAGACAGTTACAATATACCATAATAATTGCATCTCAACCACTAAGACGCTGAAAGCGGTGGTCCACAATTCTTCGAATTTGCTGGTTCGTACGAAGAACATGCTCTTGTTAATGTTGGAATAATGTGAATAATCTGGGAGACATAAACTCCATGTGCAACTGATAAGGATATATTGCTAGATAAATAATGGAAGTTGACGAAAAGCTGACGTCATCACGTTTATCATAAATTTTAGTTGGTAGTTTGCCAGCAATGTCTTTCTCTATTAAAATATCCTAATATGAATTTAACAGATGTGTCAGTCTCCGTGGTATTTTTTTTTTTTTGTTTCGAGGGATATAAGGAATCAACGTAGGAATGAAAATGAATAAGGTTATTTGATAAAACGTCGTTAATATATGTAAGTGTAGAAATAAATGCCACAGCAAGAGATTTCTTTTCATGTAGAAGTTATTGAATAAATTTTGCTTCATAACGTGCTAATAACGTGTTATTGATATTATTAGTGGATGTTATTTATTATATAACTTTTGAATGAGAGGGAATGAGGTGGTCATATTTGACATGTTCATTACCTGTTTCAAGGTCTTTCCAAATGTACTATGTTTTTTTTACCTTCTGACCTTGAAGTTTAACCTGCAGTACTTTTCAAAATTTTTTACACTGCATGGTTAGAACTTTTGAATGAGAAAAGATAGGGCATATCATATTTGACATGTACCTTCTTTTGTTTAAACCTTTAACATAATTCTTTTTTCATTCCAGATTTAAACTCAGAGGTAGATGAAGAATTGAAATATATCTTGGCCTTTTTCTGGCAACCAACACGTAGCGGACGAGAAATTAACGTGCATGAAAGGAAAAACGTTCGCTATTAGATGGCATCTGTGTAAGTATATCAAGTATAACAGGTTTTCTTTTTTTATATGTTGAATGCTGGTTGCAGGTATTATATTACATGTATAAATGAATAGTCCCTCTCTCTCTCTCTCTGTCTCTCTCTCTCTCTTTCTGAATGCAAGAGGTTATTTATTTGTAGTATGGATCAAGCATCTTCATTAAAGCCAAAAATAATACTGCTGACCACTGAGGATTGGTATACCTGGGACATTTATTTCCACCGCCTTGAAATATTCTACACGTTTTAATGAACATGTGATTTTTTTTTATTTCATTTGTTTCTTGTCAATTTCAGAAAGAAGACATTATTTTTACCTGAAAATACTGCAATTCAAAAGCCAAATGCAATCATCTTTAAAATTAAATTTTGAAACGCTGCGTTACTCTTGGATGCATAACGAATATGTGAATTTTATGATTACAATCAGCAATAAAGTATTCATCAAAACTGCCATATTTGAAAATATTTCTATTTTATAACTGGTCAACTGAAATTTATCATTTACCGAATTCTTTATTTTGAACTTTTTCAACCAGTTAAAGTTAGCTTCAAAAATTATAAAAATTACATCTTTCGTTAACTTTATTCACTAGTGCACATGTATAGAGGACATATATTACACAGAACAAGAAGAAACTTATTGATAGATCTATGGTGAAAGGATTTAGGTATCAGGATGATACTGTGTTAAGCTTTTAAAATCTATGCACAGCTAAAAAATGTGTGTTAATTTGAATTAGATTCAACAAATTTCCAAAGAATGAATCCTTATAACACTGCTTTCTCGCCCCTTTTTAAATGCAGAATTTTACCTTTTCAAATCAGAACATTGTTATATTATAGCTAAAGTCTTCAAGCATAGTCTGTATAGATACTCATAAAAGATTTTTTGGGAAAGAGACTTTCAATATATACATTATATCGACTAAATAAAATCTTATACTTCACTGTAAAATCCCGGTTTCGCCATTACAGCTGTGTAGGTCATTGTGTTATTTGAATGAGAAGGCGGAGCGTCTATCAAGCGTGCGATTAGTATGAATACATTAGCGTGTGTTCGAGGTGTACTAAGTTTTATGATTAACTGACACCTAAAAAGCCTTTTTCATGCTAGAGACCGACAGAATATAAGCATACATTTTTAATTTGGCTGGCTTAACTTTGATTTCTTACGAGTCGTATTTGAAATGATTTACTAGAAATTCTTTAAATTATTTATATATTAAATACACAATGGAATTTGGAAACAGAACGTATAACGAAGGATACACTATTTTTCATACTTTAAAGAAACTTTTTTTTTGAAAAAGAGATAATTAATTTTTTTTTTTTAGCTTATTACGTACATAATTAGAATTTTTTCATACATGTATATAATTCTGCAAAATCCGAGTGCTACAACAAATGCACGTAGGCGGTTGAATTATGATATAAAACTACAATCGGTGAATAAAAAATAGTTAAGAATGTGAAAATCTAAACGTCAATTAAACCACAGGCGTCTGAAGTGTGGGTCGTTAACACCCCCCCCCCCCCCCATTTTTAATTAAAAAAAATGTAAGAGCTCATAATTTCTCAAAAATATAAATTTTCCCCATCAATCAAATCCATATGTCGTTCTATGCAAGCAGATTGTACCTTTTCTTACGTTTAGAGAATGGCCTTGTACGGTATAATAAAAATACATTGTATTTTTATTATACATTGTATTTTTATCTTTTCTAAACGTAAGAAAAGATACAATCTGCTTGCATAGAACGACATATGGATTTGATTGATGGGGAAATTTTATATTTTTGAGAAGTTATAAGCTCTTACATTTTTTTTAAAATTAAAAATGGGAGGGGGGGGGTATCGATCCACACTTCATGACAGTTTTAACTGAAAAAAAAACTTTCATATCTTCCAAGTCAATGAACGGAGCACTGATGTATATTTAGGAACAAGGGCAAATGTATAATATACATGTATACCCAAAGTGATTTAAATTTTAAAGTTCTGTATTTATGAGACACAAGCAGTAAGTGCTACAAGACTTCAATATAAATTGATAGATACCAAAAAAAAACCAAACAAACAAACAAAATCGACTGAAAATATTAACACATCTTAATCATAAAAAAGTTTTCTCCCAGAATTTTAATTACCCACTTGAAAAATGATTTGACCATCGATAGCTCGCAGACACTAGACACAATGTCGCATAGATGTGTTTAAAGCGTGGAAATGAATAGATTTGAGTCACGTGTTCAGTGCTTTGTTATTCATGAGGTCAAAGATGGGTTGAAATTTGTAAACAAGGTGCCTTTACTATGGAGACAAGCACCCGTGATTTTGCACCTTTTAAGAAAATAACAAATGAGCGCAAGACTGTTTCAATTTCTTTCATGAATGTAAATGACTAGTATAACTCTTTACATTGACCGTATTTACGACAACTTGAAACATCCATGCGCTCATATAAAAAATGGGCTTGCAAAATGGGGGTGTGGCCTAAAGTCTATGAGAATTCGATGTAAACAACATACCCCTGCTATATTAATCACATAAATACCTAATTACAGTGCAAGGAAGTAAAAAGTGAAATTGAAATTAATAAACTACAATGTTTGATGGAAAGATTGAGGCAAAAATATGTAGAAAATCTTTAATTTAATTTTTTGTAAATTATCGGGGGGCCAGATTTGGACGTTTAAACGATTCATCCTTTGTGAAAAACGCTTATTTACATCAAAATGTCGAATGAAATTGTAATTGTTTTGCGGATGCATATTGATGCTTATGACTTGTCATTGTACACTGCTGAGTAAATTGAAGGGGTGCAATATAACCTATGCAAAAATCGCTCGGGCATTGATATTTCATATGCGTGATAGGATGGGAGATTGAACATACTTCACCTTCTTGGATAGAGATGATAAGATGTATATGAAAGCTTCATGACATAGACTTAGTGTGAGTTCCTTTTTCTTCAAACCATTGCTCTCCGCTGGAGGATGGAGTCATTAAAGTAGATCAAAGTATTACATCTGAATACTTTTTTTTCAAGAACAATGCCACAATTAATACAATGAAGCGCGAAAATAAGGATTTTTAATTTGATTTATCATTTCGACTCATTTTTAACATATTTTTTGTAAAATTGATGCTATCAAAAAATCGGTAGTTTCTTAGCATTTTACACCAGAATAGTCTGTGTGTCATGATGCGGCATGAAAATTAGCATATTAAGTGTATGTTTTTTTTATAACCTACTGTTTACAAATAAATTATAGCAAAGATACTATCAAATTTTCAATAATTTCACGCAAAGACCTTTCGGACATTAGTCCCCTTAGACGTGGTCGACATATCTAAATGTTGAAATATACATGCACACACCCTCATATAGTGCAGATTCAAAGGTTTCCAAATTATATGACATTGAAGCATCCAAATTTTGTGACTAGGAAGAGCTTGGTGGCCCATATGCCTCTAGTCCGAAATATCTGACGTTTTCCTGGCTTTTTTACGATTTTGATATTTTGCGTGCCAGGAAAACGTCAGAACCGGCGCCATTAAGAAAACTGGGAATTCGCCGCCTCCAACCGGAGGCGGCATTCTCGGGTTGATTTTCGATACTTGCGAACCGAATTAAATGTCAAAATCACAACTTATCAATAGTACAATACTTTTAGTACTCACCAACATCGTTTTTATGGTTCGTTTATAAAATATACAATCCGATGAAAACATTTTATCTAATTATCGAGATTTCTTTTCATTTCGTGCATTTTAAAATCTTGCAAGTCCTGTGTCAAAATGCGGAGTGATGTTTTCTTTTCATCGATATTGGTGCATTGTGCAATCGGTAAATTGTGAGTTTGGCATTAAATTCGGTTTGCAAGTATCGAAAATCAACTCCGGTTGGAGAAGGCGAAATTTCCAGTTTCCTTAATGGCGCCGGTTCTGACGTTTTCCTGGCACATAAAATATCAAAATCGGAAGAAAAAAAAAGCCAGGAAAAAGTCAGATATTTCGGACTAATATGCCTCTTGTTTGAGGGGTTATATTGAGAAGGGCAGGGGACCTCTTTTTCTATGTGGAGGTAAGTCCTCAGGTGAATTATTTGCCTTTTAATGATCTATTTCAATGTTAAGATATAATTGACAAAAATCTATTACAATTGTTAATGTTTCCATTGACTTTTAAGTGTAATTGTTTATTATATTTAAAAAATATATGTTTATAATAGCATTGTAAGAACAGGTAAATTATAAAACAGCTTCAGCTTTTGTGAATTAGCATTTTGTAACATAATCCTGTTGTCCTTTGTAGGGAAGCTGTGAAGACTGAATATCCTCCTGATCTGGCTCCTCCTCATCTTCTGGCTCACCAAGTGTAACGGAGATGTTGTGTAACGCTGTTTAAAATCTGTGAGTATTCATGCGTACCTGGAAAAAATGCAATAAATAAATAAACATATATTGTGGTAAGTCTCTTTTTATTACAGGCAATGGTTCTAAAACTCTGTTCTAAAACTTAAAGAAGAGTAGGCATTATATTTCACATTAACTTTTCAATTTTTATTCATCATGCACTTTTTCCACTGGTTTATTATCCGGAAAATCAAAACGATTTACGTTCAAATCTTACACACCCCCAGATTGGGGAGTACCTATAGTAAATTCTTTTTATATAATCATAAAACAATAATTATCTGATGAGAAATGAAATTGAAATGTAACAACAACAATTAAGACTCAGTTAAAAGTAAGTTTTCAAAATATTTTACTCATTATTTTATACGTGTTATCATTAAAGAATTATTTTACTGAACTAATAAAGAAATAACGTCTCATTTCCTAATTTGCACTTTCTTGAACAACCACAAATAGATCGGTCGCTGCTGGCCGATAATGATCATGTAAGCGAAATTCCGAATACGTGAGTTATCTCTCTTCTGTCATCTGTCGACAATAATGCAATCTACGGCAACGTCCACCTTTTTTAAACCTTGTGTTTTCAAAATTGATTATTGGTTATAGGATATTAAAGATGGAATTATTTAAAATTTTTAGCATTATTTCTTTCATGGTAAACAAAAGTGGGAATAGCTTGCTGACACTGAAAGAATCCAGCATGAATATAATATCCACCTACAAGATACGAGATACAAGATTTTATTAGTCCAATTTGGGCCCCAGGAGGAGCAAAAAAGATTTACAAACATGAAACAAAAAAAGGAGGAAGATCCAAATGATAGAACAAACCTGATCTTAAATATAATGAGCAGTGCTTAATTGTATAATCATTGATAAATGCATCTACAAGAGATATACTGAATACACATATTGTATATGTTATAATAATATATAGTCAAGTAACTGGACAGATACATATATGCATATCAAAGAACATAAGAGATGATATATTGCCATACATGTATATGCATATACATCCCCAAATATA